ATGTATGTACACATCTCAGAAAATATCACGACTTGGCCTTTTTTGCATCTACAACCTTTAATTTCATCCTTTTGGTACATTATGTATATTTGGGAGTAGATGAAGCATTCTTGGGAGCTTCATACATTATGCACTTTAGATATGTTTTAGGTCTCAAATTCTTGAAAGGACTTTTATAATGTGTTATTTTGAGGCGTAAACCTTGGATGACGGTTCCAAATGATATTTATTTCATCAAATGAGGTTTCTTAAGTGTTTGGATGACTTGGGGGAAACATATTGTTTGATGCTTGAAAGATGTGATTTTGGGATTTTACCCAACCCGTGAGCCCTTTTTTGGTTATAAATGTGCAAATCTTTGATGCACGCCTATTATTGGCTTCATGAGGATATGGACCCATCAATGTCATGAGTATCACGTGTTTATTATGTTGCAAATTATGCTTTTTCGGGTTATGTGTTTACTTTGACTCAATCTAAATGGTTAATTGTGTTTTATGGGGCCTTTTGGCTTGGTTTTAACTCAAATGAGTGTTGGGGGACTTTATCCGGTTTTAATGGCTCAAAGTGGAGTTTTGGGAGGATGATGCATTTATTGCATATTTGATGAATGTTACGTGTTTTGAGTGCGTTAGTAATTCACTTGGTGTCATGTAATTTTGGACTGTTATGCATTAGATGCATAGGCATAGGAGTTTGTCATGTTGTTAAGTGGGGGTTTTGATGTCCAAACTTAAGTCCAATGTGTGGTCCCCAAGTCATGGTTTAAGAGATTGTGGCGCTCGTTGGAGCTGTATATGGGGACTGGTGACTTCTGTGTTGAAAATCATCTAGAGGTCGAGTAGACACTAGGTCATTGTTGGAATCTTGTTGTGATACTCATTAAAGTTGTATATGAGGATCCATGGCCCGAGGTGAAACTCGAGAACGTTGATAAATGACTTACTTTTGTGTTCCTACCACATTCGATGGAATCGGGTCTCCGCCGTCACTGACATGTGTTGTTTTTGGGTACTTTGTTACCGATGCTTTCGTTGTTTTGAATATTGAGTTTTTCTATATATTTGAAGTTTTGAAGCATGTGCCTTGCGTACGTTTTGAGTGAATGTGGATGTTGGTTGTCAAACTAAAAACGAGTATATGATTTGGAACTAACGATCTTTGGAAATATATTCCTTTTTTACTTGTGTTTTAATAATGATTTATCATTTTTATGAAAATGTTTGTTTTAACCATTTTATGTTTATACAATAAAGCTGTTTTAATTCATTAGACGTTAAGCCTAACATGTTTTCTTATTGACATGTATGTCAGGTCTCAGTGGGACCTGAGTGGCATTTGCAGCTTTGTAGAGGTTCCGATAAGGTGACTTTAGAAGTTTTCATGTTGTTTTGAAGACAACAAACTTTGAGGTTCTAGTAACACTCGACTTGTACTAATTATGTTTAGGAATTAGACAGTACATTTAGAACTCTGACACATACCTTGTTCTCCTTTTGGATAAACTTCATGTATTTCTATATCAAAGTTTGATTAAATTAAAAGAGTTTGAGAAATTTTAAACTGTCTGCTATTATATAAATTTAGGGTGTTACACCCTTACATAGGAGAACTTTATTTTGAGAATTCTCTAAATTATGAGATATTTGAGAACCAATGCATCATGTGCTATTTCATATAAATTTTTTTCATATATGGTTAGAATTCGATATAATGATTAACATATATTTGTTCCACTATGTGTTTGCTTCACATGACATGTTTGTGAAACAAAAAATACACGTAGAAAGATTTCACATTGTGAACCAAATGCATATGAAACAATCACATTGTGAAACAGATACATGTTAATCAAAACCTTAAGGTATAAATTCTCACGGATCTCACAATTTCTGGAGTTTTCAAATGATTAACCCTTACATATATAAACAAATTAAAGTTATATTCGTTAAAATATTATATTGTTTATTTTTTTTACTATCTTGATTGTATTAATTAATACTAGAAGGATACTCGCGCAATGCAGCGAAATAAATCTCTATTTTAATACTTAGTTTTTATTATTTGTTTCTATCGTTATAATACAATTTTATGAGGTTTTGAGAAAGCGGTAATGTTTTTATTTTTTAATGAAATATAAATTTGAAAATAGCATAAAAAATTATAAAAAAATAAAATCGATATTAGTATTAAATTAACTATTTAATGGTTCTCGTTTTTTGGTGTAACTTCTTTAATTCAATTTTTATTATAATTTAATTTATGCCTAACATATAACAAAATAATTTATTTTTGGTTTAATAATATAATTTTTATTAAAGATAATAATTAAACATTCGGTTAGAAACTCAATGATTATCTTAATTAGATTTTATATTTTCTATATTTAAAATAAATGTTTATCTTGTATTTAATTATGTTTATCTACAGTTAGTTATACGAATTTAAAAATAAAGCTTTAATAAGTTGTACTTACGTAAAATCACTTGTAATATTGAATTTTAAGTAATATGCATCAATAAACAGTACTTCATGCATAAAAAATGGTTTTTAAGAGTTTTTGTCAAATGTTTTATAATATAATATAGATTTTTATTAAAAATAACTAGAAGGATACTCGCGTAATGCAGCGAGATACATCTTAATTTTATTATTTCATTTTATTCTATATTGATATTAGTATCAAATTAACTATTTAAAATTCATATTTTTGTGTCATTTTTTAATTTAATTTTTTTATTATAATTTAATTTAGGTTCAATAACAAACTAATTTATATTTGGTTTAACAATATAATTTTCTTATAAAGATAATAATTACATATTTTGTTAGAACTCGATAATTATCCTAAATATATTTTAGATTTTTTATATTTTAAAATGTGATGTTTATCCTCTATTTGATTATGTTTATTCGCAGTTAGTTACACACATTCAAACATGGAGCTTTAATAAGTTGTACTTGTGCATAATTTACTTGTAATCTTGAATTTTAAGTAATATGCGTCAATAAACAGTACTTCATGCATAAAAAATGGTTTTTAAGAGTTTTTGTCAAATGTTTTATGATATAGTATAGATAATTAAACATTCGATTAGAAACTCTATGATTATCCTAATTATATTTTAGATTTTTTATATTTAAAATGAGATGTTTATCATGTATATGATTATGTTTATTTGCAGTTAGTTACATGAATTCAGATATGAAGCTTTAATAAGTTGTACTTACACACAATCTACTTGCAATCTTGAGTTTTAAGTAATATACATTAATAAACAGTACTTTACGTATAAAAAATGATTTTTAAGAGTTTTTGTCAAATGCTATATAATATAGTATTTAATTAACATAATTATATTATTAATGATTTGTTATAATTATATTATGTAATACTAGTGTTGACTAATTTTTAACATATTTTTTCCCGTTATTTTGCATTTTCTCGACCACCTTATTAGTTACTTTATATCAAATATGATTAGTTTATCAACTAGTTTTTCAGTTACTAACTAACTTTTTAACCAATAACTAATTTAACAACTAGTCCACTAAACCTAACGTAAGTTCAATCTCTTTTAACATATACAACATCAATGATGAATGAAAATGTGTTTTTTTAGACAACAAATGAAGAACTTAACGGCTTTTGGTTTGATGGAATGGTTTTGAAGGACTTAGGGGTCGTTTGGTTTGATAGAATGGTTTTGGGGGATTTGGATTTCATCGAAGGATTTGAAATGAGGGGGATTTGGATTTGGAAGTATTTTGAATCTTTAATGTGTTTGGCATGATGGATTTGAAATGGAATTAATTCATAAAAAAATAATTAAAATATATTTTTATTAATGAATTATTATAAAACAAGTGTTTTAAAACAATACTAGAAGGGTACTCGCGTAATACAACGATATAAATCTTGATTTTAGTGTTTAGTTTTTATTTTGTCTCTACCGATATAATACGATTTTGTGTGGTTTGAGAAAACGATAATGTTAAGTTTTTATTTTTGAAGATAACATACAAATTTGAAAAAAATAAATCGATATTAGTATCAAATTAACTATTTAGTAGTTCTCGTTTTTTTGTGTAACTTCTTGAATTCAATTTTTTTATTATAATCTAATTTTGATTTAGAACAAAGTAACTTATTTTTGGTTTAATAATATTTTTTTTATAATATTAAACATTCTGTTATAACTCAATGATTATCTTAATTATATTTTAGACTTTTTATATTTAAAATAGATGTTTATCCTGTATTTGATTATGTTTATCTGCAGTTAGTTACACGAATTTAGAGCTTTAATAATTTGTACTTACGCAAAATTACTTGTTATCTTAAATTTTAAGTAATATGTATCAATAAACAGTATTTCATGCATAAAAAATGGTTTTTAAGAGTTTTTGTTAAATGTTTTATAATATAGTATAGATAAAGATTATAATTAAATATTTTGTTAGAACTCAATAATTATCTTAATTATATTTTAGATTTTATATATTTAAAATGAATGTTTATCCTATATTTGATTATGTTCATCTGCAGTTAGTTACACGAATTCAAACATGGAGCTTTAATAAGTTATACTTATATATAATTTACTTGTAATCTTGAATTTTAAGTAATATGCATTACTATACAGTACTTCATGCATAAAAAATAGGTTTTTTTATCAAATGTTTTATAATATAGTATAGATTATACAGAATTCCTATTAAATCTCGTGAAACCATAACCACCTGAGATTTTAAAATCCTGTGTTTGAAAAATTTCAAATAAATCCCTTATTAACTTGGAAATAAACAATATGCTCCGACATTTTGGATGTAGAATTGTAGATATGTGAAGGCCCAATATAATTGGGCCCACAAAGTTACAAACCCTTTTGCCTGCCAACTGCCGATGCGGAATGCCAATTACATTTACATCTAGGATTGTGCCAACTCCGATGCTGTTGGCGGACCCACCAAAATCCACACACTTTTAAATATCCCTCTCCCTCCCTCCCACCGCCCAATTCTCTCGTTCATTCCCGCTCCTTAAACCACCGCCGGAAGTTCCTCCATGGCAGACTCCAAGCAACCTCCTCACCTTCTGTTCAAGCAACGCTCCTGGTCCCCTGACATCCACCGCGACAAAGAATGGCAGAAGCTCAAGTTCAAGCAGTTACGTCGTGACCGCCATCGCCGCTGCAAGAGCATTGATGCCGACATTGATGTCACTGACGATGATGTCAAGGAGCTTAAAGCGTGTTTTGATCTAGGTTTCGGTTTCGATCCGTCTCACGATTTGGATCCGAAACTTACGCAAGCTTTTCCTGCTCTCGAGTTGTACGCGGCCGTGAACCGGCAGTACAATAATAGACTCCTATCGAGGTCCTCTTCATCGCTAAGTTCCGATTCTTCTTCAAGTTCATCAAGTCTTACTACCGCCATTATTGATCCAAGTAAACAAAATTTCTTCCGAATGTTTTTTGTATTTTCCTTTTTTTTACCTATGGCTCCACAATTAATTCGATCGAATCTCGCTTAAATCCAGTTTTGATTATAATGTATACAGATGATGATCCGCAAAAGGTAAAGACAAAATTGAAACAGTGGGCACAAGTGGTTTCTTGTTCTATTCTGGATGCTTCTCCTCAGCCAATAACAAAAATTGCAGAATAGAAAGACCTAATTAAGATGGAGATCAATATAAGGTACAATCTGGTAACTTCTTGGTGCCTTTGTCATATGAGGAATAGAATGTACATATTTATTGGTATCAGAAGACTTCCATTAACGATAGGAAGGAATGAACATCTGATTCTATCTAATCCTGCTCCAAAAACTCTCAATCATTGAATAAATTATGCAGCATCAGGTTTATTTTCGTTTAAGATCAAATTCATTCAACCAAAACAACGAACGTTGTCATGGTTATGTATTCGTTAACACTCATAAATTATTTTATTAAAGCTAAAATTGTATAATCATCATATCATTGCTTACTAAATTTCCTTTTTCGATTTCCACAATCTTTGTAAGGTTTAGTATTCTTGATAAGCCAATAAAGTTGGATCTATAAGAACTTTATAGTTAGTTGCCTCGTTGATTTAACAATCCAATCCCGGTTGAATTTTTATATATGAAAACACTTTACCAATCATCTAAAAAAGGGATTATAGAAGCAGCAGTTATCAATTACCGCAACAAGACAAATGAAACCATCAAGAATAAAGTGAGCGTAAGATAACAATTTGTTCTTCTGAAACATGTCATTAACGTTGTGCTTGATACATGAGACTGGACTTGACATATCACTCAACTGGTTACACTATATATATATACACATAAAAACAGTACAAATTTGTATATTAAATTATTAATATAAATATAAACTGTTCAGTTTGGTCAAAACGTCCGGTTTGAAACTCCAAACCATAAGCGAAACTACATACCTTGGTTACATAATGTTTCAATTTGCTGGGCTGAGTAATGAAGCACTAACATGGCCAAATTACTTGGTTTTTATCAGTTTAATCAATTTCTGTCATATATTAAACACTTCTAAATTATCAGTAATAGACATGTATTTAGTGATTGTTGAATCCAATATGTATATACTTGAAATGATTCTTTAACTAAATCATATACGAATATTATGGATAATAATCTTTGTGTTTTATAAATATAATAATATTTTTATGTTATGAATTTGGTGGCATGAAGTAGGCACACATGATTAAACCTAAAAAGTGAAAACAGTTTTTTTTGGACACAAGAATCGCAAGAAAAATTGCACTTTCACGTGAAAATAGTTGCCAAAATGTGTTTAATTTCAATGGATGCTTTCATATACAATAAAAAAGAGGACCACACTTTTGCTTTCAATAAATAAACCCAAATCAAGTCATCACTTTCTTTATGCCCTTTTAGTTTTCAAAATTCATCAACCATTCTTGCTTATCCGCTAACTTTTTCCATCAAAAATATCTTCACTTCATATCTTCCACTTATTTTATATATATATATATATATATATATATATATATATATATATATTCTTATGAGTATGACGGTTTATATTTGACATTATGTTCACGGACATGTCTTTACAATCACCGTTTGTGGGTTTTTTGTTTGTGTTTTTATAACCGTGGGTGTCTAGGTCAACTTGTACACACCTTGATATATCACAGAGGCCCTAGAAAATAGTCGTAAAAATTCTCAGTAGCCTTGCAGGACGAGAACTGATGATATTTGAGGAGAATTCTCAAAAGATCGAATTTTATTCAATTAAACTAACTATTCTTTCAAGGGAATAACTCTCTTGTTCATAGTGTCATTAGCTTTTGAGAGTAATATTTATGAATATATCATTTTTCATGTGATACGACTATCTTTTTTGTTTTACAAAAAGTAATATGAAAAAGCTAATTTGCTTTGTGAAGTTTTATCTTAGTTACCAAATCAATCAAGTTTAGTATATCTCACGTGAAGGCGAGGCCTGAAGGATTAAATGTATATAGACATGACATCTATTAAATAGAGTAAAACAATTTATGTGAAGACCTCCACTTATGAAAAATGTACGAAAAAAATTATTGAAAAGATGCGGAAATAGAAACAAAAATACACAGGAAAAAGCACTTGAAAACAAAAGGCAATAGATAAGATAAAGTTTGAAAATCGATTATTATAGTTATAAAAAAAATAAGTTTCTAATTATGAAATCATTTGCGTTCCATACACACACATAGACTTAGGATCATATGAGACCAACCTGTTTTTGTGAAACTCGTGAGACCATTTTTTTACACTTGAAACTTCACAGCAAAACGGTGTAAAGGTAACCTTCAGTGTTTTTGTTGTGAATGTTCGACTTTTTTTGAACCTTCACAACGTTTTGTTGTGAAGTTTTAAGTATAAAATAGTGATTTCACGGGTCTTATGAAAACATACTGATCTCACGTGAACTCAACCTATATATATAGAGGCTCATTCAAAGGAGAACTGACTAGTTTGTGGTAACCGTAAGATCCAATCTCAACCACAAATCAATAGATAAATTAGGAAATTTATGATCTTGGTAATTTTGAATTAAAATTTTAATGCAAGAACATTTAGGTCTCTTCTCTCTCCTCTTTCCTCTCTTCTCTCTCCGTCCTCGACCTCCGGCCACTATCCTCTAGTCACCGTTCTCCGGTGATACCACAGTGATACCTAAAACTATTGACTCTGTTAAACAAAAGACACAGTGTAATACCCAAGCACATATAAGATGCATTGTGATACCACTGTGTTACATCTTCAATTGACCATACAAATGACCTCAGTGTGATACCCAAGCACATATAAGATGCATTGGTGATACCGTTATGGTATCACCGGAGGACGGGGACGGAGAGAGGAGAGTTTTAAAATACTTAAAATGTTCTTGCATTAAAATTTTAATTCAAAATTACCAAAATTATAAGTTTTCTAATTTATCTATTGATTTGTGGTTGAAATTGGACCTCACGGCTACCACAAACTAAATAGTTCTCATTTGATTAGGCCTCTATATATATATATATATATATATATAGAGAGAGAGAGAGAGAGAGAGAGAGAGGGAGAGAGAGAGAAAGAGAGAGAGAGAGAGAGACTTGGGATCATGTGAGACCAAAGGTTTTTCGTGAGACACCTAAGACCAATTCTCAACCCTTGGATTAGATCTACAATCTGAACATTCATAATCTCAAAATTGCCACGAAACTTCTCAATAATCATAAAACTGCCATCATGCAACTTTAGACCATTAGATAATTAGCTTATAAAGTTGATGAATGAACATAAATTGGTCTTACGGGTCTCACAAAAAACCCTTGGTCTCACGTGAACCCAACTCTTGATTCACGTGAGACCAAGGGTTTCACGTGAGACCCGTAAGACTAATTTATGTTCGTTGTTCAATCTAATGGTCTAAAATTGCACGGTGGCAATTTTGTGATTATTGAGAAGTCTCGTGGCGTTTATGAATGTTCAGATTGTCAAATTATAAATCTAATTCAAGGGTTGAGAATTGGTCTTACGGGTCTTACGAAAAACTCGTGATCTCACATGATCCCAAGTCTATATATATATATATATAGAGAGAGAGAGAGAGAGAGAGAGAGAGAAAGAGAGAGAGAGATGAGCGATCAAATGAAAACCACTTCAATTTGTAAAAACCGTAAAAACTACTCTCATTCGTCTTAATCTTATGAAATTTTTTCATGAAATTGTTTCATATAATACTTTTTTTTGATGAAGTTCTTTCATATATGGTTATGAAATTGTTTCATATACTACTTAATAAAATTTTAATGAAACTGTTTCATGTATGTCTCTAAAATTAAAATAATGAAGATGATAATATCTGTGATTAACATCCTGCACAATAAAAATGATTAATCATCCTCTCATAATTACAAAAAAAAAATGAATAAAATGAAAAATTATGATTGGTGGAATGAGGTTTTTACAGTTTTTACAAATTGAGTGGTTTTCATTTGATCGCTCCCCTATATATATAGGGGCTGGTTCAAATGCTAACCAAGATTATCGTGTTAACTTTGTTAACCGATCTTGGCCATAAATTTGAATAATAAACGGTTGTGATTTAATGATATTTAAAAATTAATTATTAAATTAATATTTTCAATTAACATATGTGAACAAAATATCAAAGGGTATTTAGGTAAAAAAATAATCTATCTTTGATACACGAGTTGTCAGACATATGAACAACTTGTGTATATCCTCAAAACACATCAAACAAAAAAGATTAGACATATGAACAACATGTGAACCATATGAACATTTTCTGTATATTCATGAGTCAACTCTGTTGTATATACATGAACACCTACGAAGCTTGTGTTCACATGAATCACAGATACTGTTCATATTCATGTGATGTGATTGTGCATATGTATCGATATGAACATCTATTGCATTTGATATGTGTTCATTTAAATGAATTCAAATGTCATACTAATCACTTACCAATAGGAACACTTTGATTATTTTCTTCATTATCGGAATTCGAATTGCGAATGTAGTCGTAGACGATTTTGTCATTTCCATTGTTGTCAATCTGTTTTACAATAAGATTATCCATATTACTCGGACGATACGGAAATCTTTTACACTTATGAAAACAATATCATTATATGTAGAACATCATTTGTAAACTATGATCATGAACACGTATGAAAATAAAATTCAATATTACATCATGATCAATTAGTGAGATCTTTAAGATTTGTAACTCTCAATTAATTATTAGGGAGTTACATAAATGTCAAATTACCTAATTACTCTTATATTTAATATATGAGTTACATTTGAACATAAATAAAAGATGGAATATGATTGGTTAAGCTTGGTTGATATAGTTAACACAAATTTATTGGTTAGTATTTGAACCAAACTCTTTCTCTCTCTCTTTATATATATATATATATATATATATATATATATATATATATATACACACACACGGAAATGGGTGATCATGGGCTTCGTCCTAACTTGTCTTATGATAAAATGTGACTAGGCTTTGTATTGACTTGTCTCATGATAAATTGTGACTATATACTTTACCCACAATCCTAAATTGAATCCCTCCAATGTTCATAAATATATATGGTGTTTGATATACTGGACATGACATAACTAAATAAAAAAGGGATCATCATTTCACATTTGATATGACTTTTATGTGAAATAAACATAAATAGAGTGTAACAAAGTAGAACAGACGAGTAGAACAGACGTGTTTCACCCTATATAATGGAACAAG